GGAAGGAAGGAAGGAAGGAAGGAAGGAAGGAAGGAAGGAAGGAAGGAAGGAAGGGGAGAAAGGAAAGGAGGAAGGAAAGAAGGAAGGAGGGAGGGAGGAAGGTAAGGGAGGGAGAAAGGAGGGAAGGAAGGAAAGAAGGGAGGGAAGGAAAAAAGGAAGGAAGAAAGGAAGGAGAGAGGGAAGGAGGGTGGAAGAAAATATTTAGTATGCAGTTATTATGTGCCAGGCACTGTGTTAACGCTTTACAAATATTAGGTGCTATTATCATCACCAGAAAACTGCAAAACTTCATTTTTTAAATCTCTTGCTTCATTTCTTCTAGGTATTCATATAGCCCTTGTTGAAAATACCTTTTTTCCTCTCCCTCCACCCTTCTGAGAGATATTTTCAGATCTGAAGCGACGCAAGCTCAGAGCATCCTGTCCCTGAGTGAGGAGAGCCCTTCTAGTTTCACAAAACGGGAGGAAGTGGAGAGAAGAGGGAAGGGGGTGGGAGGTTCTAAGTGAACAGAAAAGGGAAGGAAAAAGATAAAGAATAACAAGCGTGCTTATTGTTGGCAATAAAGTCCCGCAAAAGGTCCCCGCCTTTTCCTTCCCCGTAGACCATCGGGATTTGCCCTGACTAGCACTTGAGAAGGTTCCCGGAGACGGGACAGACAGGTGAGAGAACCAAACCCAGAAAAATCCCCTCTAGTTATCCCAGTGTTAATCGGAATAAGCTACCAAACCAGTCAGATCCAAGTGTTGGTTCGCCTCCTTACCACCTGCCAGCCCTTCCTTTGAATCCAGAAATTCCGAATTGGAAAGGACCTCCGAGGTCCCCTTATGTTCTCTGCTCCCCAGCTGCGAGTCCCAGGGCCTCTGCCGCCGGTAGGATTTCAGGAGCTGGCCCTCCCTCCCGGAATCTTTCATTCCTTCCCCTTGCGACTGCAGCTGAGCTGTCTCCTCTCCCAGCTCACCCCAGGTGTACCGGCTCCCTATTCCTCACTCTAGCCCACTGCAGCCCATCCCCGAACGCTCCCGCTTCCTTACCCAGAAGTTCTCCCTGAACTTAGAGGCTTTCATGACGTTCGAGTCTAGGCAGTGAGGTCCTAAGGTGCTGCTAGCAGGGCTGAGTGATCGCTGTGTGAAAACCAGAGTCCAGTCTGCAACTTTCGAGTTCCTCATCCGCCCCACCCGAATCCTAAACAGTCACGGGATTGCGAGAATTCGGAATCCCCAAGCTGTCATTTCTCTGTGCTTTGCAGCTTTGCAGCAGCAGGAGGCAGCGATTATTAGAATAAACCCAGAAGAAGCAGAAACAGAAGAAGCAAAAAGAAAAATGCACATTTGCAAGCATATTTCAAAAAAACCTGGAAAGATTTATATGACCTTATGCAGAGTGAAGTGAGCAGAACAGAAGAACATTGCACACAATAACAGCCCACACTGTGTG